TCAAATAAATAAATAAAATCTTAAAAAAAAAAAATAAAGCTAACTCAAGTGGAGACGATTTCATTTTATTATTGCATTGTATTATATTGTCTTTGTCTGTCTGGTTTATTACCGGGGTCTGTGGAGGTGTGGTATCAGCGGCCACACTCCATGGGGTTGGGAGGCAGTACTGGGGGCAGAGGGGCTTTGCCCTGGCCCCGGCTTGCTGGGTGAGTCGGGAACTCCTCCGGGCTTTCTGTGTCCCCTTCTCCAGTCCCCATCAGTACTGCTCCAAGCAGCCACACCCAGAACTCTGGCAGGATTTATTGTACCTGCTGGTTTTTCTCTAAAAGAGCAATTGGTAACACTGCAGCCTGAAAGGGACTCAATTATGTCTCACCTCCAAATTCATATGTTGAAGCCCTAACAACCCCCAGTGTGATGGCATTTGGATATTTGGGAGGTGATTAGGTTTAGATGAGGTCATGAGGGTGGGGCCCCTTGATGGGAATAGTGCCCTTATGGCTCAGTCAGTTAAGCATCTGCCTTCGGCTCAGGTCATGATCCCAGGGTCCTGGGATCGAGCCCCGCATCGGGCTCTCTGCTCTGTGGGGAGCCTGCTTCTCCCTCTCCCTCTGCTGCTCTCCCTGCTTATTCTCTCTTTCTCTCTTAAAAAAAGAAAGAAGAGGAAGAGATACCTGAGTTCTCTCTCTCTCTCTTTCTTGCTCTCTCTGCCATAATGACACGGCAAGCCAGGAAGAGAGGCCTCATCAGGACCCAGCCATGCTGGTACCCTGACCTCCCATATCCAGCCTCCCAAACGGTGAGAAAAAGACGTCTGCTATTTGAGCCACTCAGTCTGTGGTCTTTTGATACGGCAGCCTGAGCTGGTTAAGACAGAAGTTTGGAAGTCAGAACCCTTTCCTGGCGAATTCCCCAAGGGGGAAGTTGGTCAGAGGGAGCCAATCTCAGGATGCCTGCCTGCCGAGGGAGGGGGTGGGGGAGAGGGTAGACGGACCGGCTCTGAGCAGCTTGGGCTTCTGGAGGCCAGAGCCTGCACCTAGCTGCTGCTTCTGTCCGCTGCGCTCCCCGCACACCGGGAAGGCATGGCCATGCGCAGAGCCAGCTCCGGGGTTCTGGGGTGGGGGGCAGCAAGCAGGCTGGCCCTGGGAGTTGTGCACCTCGCCTGTCACTCACTCCCCGGGCCTAGCCTCCCCGAGGCAAGCAGTGGTCCCCGCACCCCCTTCCTCCCCTCCTGGTGCCTTCACACTGTCCTTCCTGCCTTCCAGGGCCTCCCGCTTTCTGGCATCCAATGTGGTAACCAAGTGGTTTTAATTAGAAAAACTGATGGCTGTGGACTGTTACCCAGGTAACTAAAACCCTTAATCCTCCAGAAATGCCCGAGGCTCCAGAAGACCCTGGAGGGTGGGGGTGGGGGGGAAGCAAAGCTCCTTATCCAGAGTCCTCAGAGGCAGGTGCGCCAAGGGATGACTCCAGCTGGTCTGGGCCCCACTCTGCCCACCGCGACGGCAGGGCTTTCACGGGGACGGCGGAAGCAGCCGGCTTCAAAGCTGTGTTTCTTTGCCGTTGCACAGAGATGGGAGGGGAAGGGAAGGGAAGCGGCCGCTGTCTGGCGTTGTCTGGCTTACTCAGTGTTTTTCCAAGCAAGCATCCCTGCATTAAAAGGCTGGAGTATCCAAGCTCATCTGCTCTAGTCCCTGCCTCTGAGGGTGGGCCCACGGCTCAGAAAGCTCCAGAACACTACCACTGCCTCTTCCCTTCCTGTCTTGCAAGTTTCCTGAATGAGGTGGCCTCAAAGGGGACAGCTCCCTGGGGCCTGGTGGCTAGCCCATGCTCTAGCCCATCTGTCCCTTCAGAATCAGCAGCACTTCCGGGGGGGAGGGGCAGAGGCACAGTACATACACGTTGCCGTACTCCATCTCGGTGATGGTGATGGTCTTGACGTGCCAGACCAGCTCTCTCTTGGGGATGAACCGGTCCTCCCTGGCGAGGTGGCCCACGCAGAGGGAGGCAATGTCCCCCAAGTAGACGCTGTCAAACTCGAATGTGTCTGTGGTTCCCCTGAAGGACACAAAGGTATGGCCCTCAAGAGCTGCCCGTGTCCACTGAAGGAGGTGAGCATTTATTGAGTGCCTACTGTATTCCAGGCACTGGTCTGAGAAGCAGGGATGGAACTGGCAACCACAGCCTGCATTCTTTGAGAGGTTCAGCCTAGTTTTGGAACAAGACAATCACAGCCATTAAAAAGCCCCGCCTGGTCCCAGCACCAGGGATCAGTAACATCATGCAGCAGATGGAGCTGGGAGGAGGGCAAGGCCCTGGGCCCTGGGTGTTGGGCTGGGGAGGCTGGTGGGATTCAGAGAGCAGAGCCTCGGGAAGAAGGGAAGAGGCCCTGAGGGGGACCTGACTGGGCACAGTCCTGGGATGGGGACTGTGGGGGAGGAGGCACAGGTGCCCCTGGGGGGAGTACTGGTTGGCTGCAGTTGGGGTTCAGCCAGGGAAGTGGCAAGGGGAGAGGCGGGGTGTGGCCGTCTGTGCTGGTCCAGAGTGCCAGTCTAAGGAGCTCAGACTTCATCCTGACGCACAGGGAGTTCGAATGAGAGGTTTAGTGGGTCAGAGGCGGGGAAGACTTCTGTAAGCAGTTCTGGTGGACGCGGGGAGATGAAGTGGGCATCTGGGCAGTTCGGGGGGGGGCTCTGGTGTGCAGGAGGAAGGGAGATTCTCCGGCGTGCCTGCCAACCAGGAACGGTGAGAAGAGGCAGCTTTACCCAAAACCCAAGGCTGATTTCCCTAGAGAGCTTCATAGAGGCTCTCTCTTCCCTTCCTCCTTCCAAGTAGAACTCAGTTCTGTGCTGCTCCCATGATGACTCTCTTGCAATCTCATGGCTGAATGTTTTCCTTTTCAATTAGACCGTGAGCTCCTGGTCTGCACGGACTTGGAGAAGGTTTGCAGTGCTACCTGGTCCTGCTGCAAAGTGGGCTCTCTTTAATTAGTTAGTTATTAATTTTTGCTGTAGCTTTCCATTAACTTTTAAAAACTGAAATATATTTGATATAAGACTGTAAATTTAAGGTGTACAATGTGCTACTTTAATACAGTTATATATTATAGTATGACTGCCATTGTAGCGATAATTAGCACCTCTAGCACGTTACAGAATTAGCCTTTCTTTTTAGTGATTGCCATAATTGAATTCTCATATAGTGGCCTTTCTTTGAGTGGCAATCCCCTCCTTTCCCTTTTATGAGGGAAATTCCTCCATCAAGTTTGCACAGGGTTGACACACAGTAGGTGATCCGTAAGTGCAGCTCAGGCCCATTTGTATATTTATGGTGCCCACCAAGGGGGTTGATTCTGGGGGTCCCTCTTACCCACCCCCCCCACCACCACTCCCTTGTGGGAAACCCTCTTCCTACTTCCTAAAGGCCCGCTGTCGGGAAGAATTTTCCACAAGAAACTCTTTGGATCGGTTCTTCCTGCCTTCAAGGATGAGCCAGACGTTCTCCCTGGTTTCGCCTCCGTTGCCCGTCTCTATGACGATCTCATAGGCTGCGGTGGAGAAGGTGGGAGAGGGTCAGCTGGCGTGAAGCAGCCCCCACCCGTGGCTTCCAGGTCCCCCACCTGATCTTAGACCACAGCCTGGGGGCAGTTTGAAGTCTCCACAATGAGGCACTACAAGGAGGACCTGCCCCCTCTGGGGCTACTGCAAGCACCTCTTTTAGTTATAGAGCAACCGCTTTGCCTAGGGACCGTGGCCGTGGCTGGGAGTGAAGCGGGAGGAAGCAGCAGGTGGGGATGAGTTTTGGGAGAGGTGCTGGGGCCTGGCTCTCAAGGATGGACAGACCCCAAGGTGCAAAACGGAGATCATGAGCAGAAAGAGAGAGGAGAGAGGAAATGGACAGGGAAGCCCGGGCAGGCCTGACTCCGGGAGATCCTTGAAGTCTGTGCACAAGCAATCAGGTCTTGCCCGGTCTCAGTTCTCACTCTGGTGTCGCGCTAAGCACCACTGCCCTCTTCTCCCGCACTGCCCTCAAGCACGTCTGCATTCACTCGGCAACATTTGTTATGTGGGTGCCGAGTGTCAGGAGGCAGCTAGGTTCTGTGGGACACTGGAACTCCCTCTGTAGCCCCAGACACACACTGACTACCACAGCCCCCAGAAGGAATGTGCTAATCTTGCAACAAAGGGCAGAAGGAGCTCAGGGCAAGAGGAAAAGTCAGCAGCTTATTACCTCTCCAACCCCATCTTCTCGTATTTTCTCCCTTGCTCCCTCCATGCACTCTGCCTCCCTGCTGTCCCTGGAGCTCTGGGGCGTGCCCTCATTCCCAGTGCTGCAGTGCTGCCCCCCTTGCTCTCTTCACGCACACCGGCTTGGCTCAGCCTTCACCTCATCCTTGCTCCTGGAGGTCCGCCTCAACCCCCGCTAATTGAGATAGCAACCCCACTGCCCCCAGCACTCCTGGCCTGCCTTCAGGTGCTCCATATTTTTCTCTTCTCTTTATCACTTGTTACCTTGTAACATGTGATGTAGTTTGCTTATTATTTTACTGTTTGTTGTACTCCCCCTCCCATCTGAATGTAAGCTCCATAGGGGCTGGAGGGTGTCCTTCGTTTTGCTCACTGATAGATCTCAAGTGCCCAGAACAGTGCCTAGCACACAGGCACTCAATACATATTTGACGAGCAAATGAATGAAAGATCGGGCCACAGGAAGCCTCAGGAAGGAGGCAGCATTTGAGCCTGCGCTCGAAGAAGAGCGATGATGACCATCGGCAGAAAATGCAGGGAGGTTCTAGGCAGAGGGAGGGGCACAAGCAAAGACTGAGGGGGTGAGGAGGGCTGGGAGTTCACATGACCCAGTTCACGCGAGCCAGCTCCTGCGCCCCAGGGACCTGGCCAGAGATGGAGCTGTCCAGAGTGTCCCCCGTGCATGTGGCTCTTGCAGCAGTAAAGGAATCATTGAGGGTTTGGGATTCTGGATGCAAAGGACAGCTCTGCTTCTGCACCTTTCTCCCAGAGATGTGATACAGACAACAGAGAGAAAGCGAGGCTGTGCCTGCAGCTCAGTGTAATGCTAGCCCTTCTGCCCTTGTGACTTCTCTCAAGGAGAGTGTCTACTGCTGAGATGGGTGGAATGAATCTGGACAAAGGGGCACGTAGCCAGTGATAGGGGTGGAGAGCCACAGAGAGCACACAACTCCTGAAGAAGGTGAGGCTCTGGGGGTCTGTACAAATCCCAGCCCAGGACACTGAGGACCTGTGATGGCTGAGCCACTGTCAGGTCCCACTGCCATTCTGCTTTCCCCACAGAGGGTGGGGTGAGTTCTGCAAACCCAACACCTGGGAGTTCCAAGGGGATCCTGGGCTTTGTTGAGGAAATGGTTTGTTGGCACCTAGGGGAGGAGGCAAGGGAGATAGGAACCTACAGGCTCATTAGTTGAACTCAAGTCAGAGATTCAAGAACCAATGTAGATGGAGTGCAAATGGACCATAATCCTTCCCTGTTGGTCCCGAGGGTAAGATAGCAAAGTAAGGTGTGTCAGCAAGGACATTTAGAGAAAGTTTCAATGAACATAGTTCACCCTTTTTTCCTGGTATTTCATCCATGGCTTGATAAAAATGTGGAGGGCATGACTCTCAACTTTGTGTATATGTTGCTGGGGGGAAATGGACGGAGGAGCATCAGGGATCTGAAGGAATGGGGCAGGTGGGAATGGTGAGCCCAGGCTAGTGGCCAGCATACCCACAGGGCAAGCCTGGCTGGGGAAAGGAGCTCAGCAGCCACAGAATGAGTCACCAGCACAAAGGGGCCACCAGCAAAGCCACCATGGGCTCTGGGGGCACGAGTGGGTTTCAAGTGGCAAGACAGGAGAGGGGAGAGCAACCACCCTTGAAATCTTGCTCTTGGGCATGGCATCTGCAGGGGAAGATGAGCAAGAAATTCAGGATATCCCATCATGTGAGCAGTTGCTGAATAAACAGGTGTTTGTCCTGAGGCAGGAACTGCAGGGGCACATGATGCTGGGGAGTGCCAGGAGGAGGACACCGGGCTCCTGGAACTTGTTGTTCCAGATCACCTTTCCCACCTCACATTGTCAGGGAGGACTCCTGCTTTGTGGTTCAGATGGCCAGTCAGAATCTTCCCTTGGGGAGACACTGTCTTCCCTTCCGCTGAGAATGTTAAGTAGAAAGCTATGGGGTTGGGCCTACCAGCGACCATCTACCCACAATGTAGAGAAAGAAGCAGAGCTGAGAGAAATGGGAGACAGAGATGTACTGAAATGACTGGAGCCTCTGGAGACAACCAAGTCAAAGCCAGCTCCACGTGAGACTTCCAAGTTCTGGGAACCAACACATTCCCTCTTTGCTGGAGCCAGCTTAGATTTGGGGTTCAGACACAAACGACCAAGAGTCCTGACCGCTCCTGAAATTTTCTGTTTGACTCCACTGGGACTTCCAAAGAATGGGAGCTTTGAGAACTTGAGTATGAAGATGGATTTTCTAACAGAGCTGCCTGGTGAAGCAGTAAGTCCTCCCATCCCTGGGGAGTTGGTCATCAAACGGGACTATATCTGGCCTAGAAATGTTGTAGATAAGGCTGACTGAGCAGCCCTAAAACGCGTCAAGGGAGAACAGGAAGGAGAAGGGCTGTAAAGAGGGGGGCACTGGTCCTGCTGGAGGATGTCCCAGTGAGAGAGAGCCTCCCAGGGGTGTGTGCTTGCATGTGTGTGCGTGTGCATATGTGTATGTGTGTGCATGCATGTGCACACATGAGCATGTGATCCTACTGCTCAGCCCTTACTCTGGATTAATTGCAACGGAATCTGGGAGTAGGACCCAGATGTCATTGTTATTTAAATGTTGCTGAAGGCTTTCAGCTTTGCTGCACACTGGAATCATCTGCAGAGGCAGGTGCTTGCAGAGGGCTGGGAGCAGCTTCTGGAACTGCTAGCAAGAGTTAGAGGTGAAGGCAGAGAACAGGGGTTAAGCCAGGTGGGGCAACTGACCCATCTGGAGACCAGCCAAGCCCAATAAAGACGAGAGAGCCTGCAGCAGGGCAGTGAGTCCTGGTCTAGGAATCAGGTCACCTGGGTCCTACCAGCTGTGAATGGGCCTTAGATGTGTCATTTCACCTTTCTGGGTTTTTGTTTTCCTTACCCATGGTATAGAGGTGTGAATTTGCACCCTATCTAGCTCATGGGGTGGGAGTAGAGCTGTGAAGACCTAACGAGAACAGAGGTGTAGAGTGCTTTCCACAGATGAAGCTCTGTTCGAGTACTGAGAGGGTGTTTGTTCTCACAAGCTGAGTACCCAGAAGCGCCCCGGGGTCACAGACACTGAGAGTAAATGCCACCAGGGCAGGGTCTTGGTTTCATCCACTGGTGTGTCCCAGACCTCAGAAGAGGCTGTGGCACTTGGCAGGTGCTCAGTAAATCTTTACGAAATGGTTAAATAAAGGTAGCTAAGGATTGGGATGTTTGGCTCCAGCTACGTCCAAGGCTCTCCCCAGGGTGACCCTCCATCTGAGGACACAGGTATGGTCACCTGTCTCCCCATGGACACCTAGAGGGCACCGCTCTGCCCTCCGAGGCCTCTAAGGAAAGACAGATCACCCAGGCCGGCTCCTGGGCTCCATGCCCCTGCTGTCCAATCTCCAGTCTGTAACATCCTTCCGGAACTAATGCAAGTGCCGCCTCCCCTCAGCAATCTCCCTGCCAACCCAACCCCCGCAGGTCTTAGCAGCTGTTTGGCAGGAAATCTGTGAAGAAGGCTCAGTGATTATGCTCTGAGCCTCACAAATCTCTCCTCCCCTGCACGCCAATAGCCTGAGGAGCCTCTATTGCTCCCCTTGGCAGTATGTAAGGGGCTTAAGCGTTCCTATTGCATAAGGGGCTTAACGCTTCTCCCTCTAACAAGACATGAAGCTCTGAGAAAAAGGACCCTTTCTTCTTCCGTTTGCTGAGCACTAACTGCACACTTACCAAGCCCCAAAGCCTACAGAGCTGCAGAAGGCTACAAACATGAGTGACTCTGTCCCTGACCTCTGGGAGCTTCTAGTTGTACGGGAGACTAACCATGTGCAATGGCTGATACAAATGAACTGGAGCTCACAAAGCAGTGTGCACTATCCACAGCATCTATAAGGAAGCTGGGCACCCGGTAATTCCTCAGTAAGTGTGGAGTCACCCTCTGAATTAGGGAGGAATCCTTGCACGGCAAGCCTGACAAGGGGGTGCTTGGCCCCTCCTTTGGATGCTCCCTGGGACATAGTGCTCACTATCTCTAGGAGCAGTTAATTTCACAGTTGGGTAGTTTGGATGGTGTGGCCAGCATGAGTGGGTGGCTTTCTACCAGAGAGCCATGCTTTCCTTCCTTGGTACACAGTTTTTTCCCCGGGAGGGGCTGTCCAGCAAGGGACTACATTTCCCAGGTGCCCTTGCATCTAGGTGGAGCCAAGGGATCAGTTCTCACCAATAGAAAGTGAGTCAATTTGTTAAGAAGGTAGGGAGCATGCCTTCTCCATGCTCTTTTCCCTTTTGCGAGAACTATGGGAGCCATATTTTGAAAATGGCAGAGACATAGATCAAAAGAGCCTGGGGCCCTGAAACACAGTGTGGAAGGTCTCCTGCCAGTAACCACACTGGACGGTTTATTACATGAGTGAGAAATACATTTTGGTTTGTTAAGCCGTTGAAATTTGGGGGTTCACCTCTTACTGCAGTTAGCATTCCCTTAACAACTGAGGTTAAAAATCCTTTCTTTACACCGGGCTCTGCCTTTGATAAGACTTCTTCGAATCTGCTAAACCCAGACACTGTATTAAAGAAACAGCTCCCTAGTCCTGGGATGGCCATCCACTTTACAGATCCATTACTTTTTCCCTTTAACTATCCCCTGAGGATCAAAGAAAGTGGCTGCTGGAGATGCTGACTCCACTACACATTCTGTTTCCAGAAGTCTTGATTTGTCAGCTCTTGCCACAGGCACCAGTTGTATGGAGCCCGTGATATAAAAATAAACCAGAGACAGAGCTGCCCACCAAAGTGCCCAGCCCAGCCCTCAGGGCAGGGTGAACTTGTCCCCTGTGGTTTTCCTGCTGCCTAATTAGTCCCTGTGACTGGGGCCAAGATCGAGGACCAGTGTCTTGGCTGTTCCAAGTTCACCAAGTAATATTTAGGGTGTTTATTTATGTACCTTCCCAAAATTCTTTCTTTCAGTGGACATCTGATTCCCCTCCAGCTATAACAGTCTCTACTTCAGACTTACCAATGCCGTTCCCCACCCCCTCTGAGCCTCCTCTCATTTAAGTCTGAAGACTCAGCCCACGAGTCACACCTGCCCCCCACGTACTGGTCTCCTCCAGCTCCTCACGGATCTCGTTGTTGGCACAGGCAAAGTCACGGAGCGTCTGCCTGTCTCCCTCCCCCCTGGAGAGCCAGCAGTCACACTGGAAGCGGAAGGTCTCATCACGCGAGTTGTCCTTCACATTGATGTAGCTCAGATGCCAGCCAGGAAAGATCCCTGTGGGAAAGACACGGTGGGGACCGGGAGCTGAATGTGCTTGCCCCCCTTTCAGCTTTCTGCTGCCCCCAGCCCACTGGCCGCGCAGCCCCACACGAATTCTCTGTCCTCTGTGGGCCTGGCTTTCCTTGTTGATGAAATGAGGAGGTGGGCTAGATGGTCTCTGAGGGCTTCTCTAGTCCTGGGCATGTAATTCTCTTTGCAAAATCCTTAGTTTGGGGTTCATGAGCTCTTAGAGGATCTGTGTATGGGAATGAAGCAGTCTAAGGGCCCGGAGAAATTGTGCTGTAATTACACATTTCACCAGGGAGAGGGCTCATAGCTTCCATCAGATTCACAATGGGGGCCACTGACTTTTTGAGAGTTCACACAGCTGAAGGATGAATCCTATTACTTCCTGACACTAGTATGCACCTGACTCATGCCCGTTATCCTTCCAGAATCAGTTCAATCACCTCCTCCGGGAAGCTTTCCCTAGCATCCCCTGATTGCCCCGTAGACCTGTATCTGGCATCCCTGCAACTGCCTTGACCACACCCTGACCAACCGTGTCATCATTGTTTACATGTGTCTCCTTCCCTGACCATGAGGTTTTGGGGGCAGGGACCTGGTCTTATTTGTTTTTGTTTCCCTAATGCCTGGCATATTGGCTGTCATGTAGTATCTGCTCCATGAATGGTGGATGTACATGTTACAACTTTGAGGACCTTGGCTCTTTGGCAGTCATAGAAGGGATTCGAAGCTGCTATTTCTTCAGGGTATACGTTAAACTTGAAAGGTCTTGGCCTAATATTGAACATACAGCTATTTCTGTTGTAACTGGCAGGGCTTCCCTCAGAAGTGCTCCCCCCAAATCACAGCTATCAAGTATAAATCTCTGTGCATTTGCTGGGGCAGCTGCGTATTATTTGTACCACACACTGATTCAGTTACTCTCCACCCTTCAAAGTCCCTGAGAACTCTGAATGCCAAAGCACCCATCCGGTTGTGTGACAGGTTATGGTGATGGTGCAGGCTGCTCATAAATTGTCCACAAGGCAACCTCGCAAAGAAGGCATGTATATGCCCAACTCTCATGTCTTGCCCTCCCATGTCACCTGGGTGTGTGGGGGCGGTCCCATGTCTCCACCAAAAAGCCATTCTCTAGGATTGGACACTGCCCTCAGCAATACCTGTAGATCCTACTGCTGGTCTCAAGGGTCTTAGAAGCACAAAGACACACAAAGATGGACACACACTTCTAGTCCCTCGGACTTCTGGGGGTGTGGGGGGTAGATGTGGAGGCTCCCGGGCAGGGAATACATACTGGCAGTCCTAGGATAGCTTAATTCTGGGTTTAAAAAGCACTTAATATAGCTTTTAATTTATTTTTATTTTTTATTTTTTAAAGATTTTATTTATTTGACAGAGACACAGTGAGAGAGGGAACACAAGCAGCGCGAGTGGGAGAGGGAGAAGCAGGTTTCCCGCTGAGCAGGAAGCCCGGTGCGGGGCTCGATGTGGGGCTTGATCCCAGGACCCTGGGATCATGACCTGAGCCGAAGGCAGATGCTTAACAACTGAGCCACCCAGGTGCCCCACTTCATATACTTTTTTAAACACAGATCTTTACTGAAGTAGAAACCCATGAGTGCTAAAACAATTATGTTAAAATTTAAAACACTTCTGTTGAGTTAAACAGTGGTGAGTAATTTTATCAACAAACTTAAAAAAATCTCAATAATATTTTTACTTTTCCACACTGGGGCCAGTTCTGTAAGATTATAAATTGGCTGCTTTCTGAGATGGTCCCTGATAATATCATGAAACTGATTCAACTGCTTAATAATCCCTGGTGTGTTCAGTCTGGAAATGATGCACAGGAGACCTACTGGAGCAGTCCTTACAGGCTTCCAGAGTGGAGCAGAGAAAGGGAGAGGCAAGTAAAAAGGAAGGCAGAGAAAGAGAAGCCAAAATGTTGGGCCTCTTGGAAGGTGTGTGTGTGTGTGTGTGTGTGTGTGTGTGTGTGTGCGCATATGCACGTGTGTGAGAGAGAGAGATGGTTTCTGCTCTCCAGACCTTACCCAAATCAACTATAATAGAATCTCTGAAGTAGGAGCTAGGCATCAATGGTCTTTACAGCTGCCCAGTGATTTCAATGAATAGCAAGGCTGAGAACTGGACCTGCACTGTAATCACCTGGGCCCCCCCTCCTGGAGATTCTGATTGAGTCGGCTCGTAGCGAGGTCCAAGAATTTCCATCTCTAACTAGTTCCTAGGTCATGCTGATGCTGTTGGTCCCAGAGCCACACCTTGAAAATCACTGGCTTAATGATCTCTCCTGACTCCAGGACGATGGTCTTGCTATGACATCATGACAAAATGATCAATGGGAATCAATGGGAATTATAAATGTGTAAGAGTGTGTGTATGCATGAGTGTTAGTGGAGAGGGATGATATTAATTGGAGAGGTGGGTCATCACGAGATCATTTCTGTTGCCGAACACACTATTCACCCTGCTTCTCACCCCAAGTAGATTTCACTCCTGAATTACTCCCTGAACTCCAGGCAGGGTGGTGACAGTGAGCTGAGGGGCAGTGTGGATTCGGGGTGGCTTTAACTTTATCCACAGACAATTCAGTGCTATAATGTAGGGGTGAAGACAACCAGAGAGAAAGAATGTGCCTAGCCCGGGTTGTCCTGATGCTTGGTTGCTTCTCTTCCCACCTTTCCCCCTTTCCCCTGTCCTCAGAAAGCATGGCATTGTCTCACCAATCCCCAATTCTCTTTAAGTAGAAGTTCTGAAAAACAAACAAACAAAAACCCTCCTTCCATGGTAAATAGCAGGCTAACCCCAACTCCTTTAAGATGAAAGAAACTTGTCCTCAGCTCTTTTCTCATTGCTTATTTAGTTGCCTTGTTTTGGAAATGTTCAATGTGATTGACAGGGATCCTACCACAACTAACTCTACTAAGAATCTATCAGACGTGTAGCTGTAAACAGGCAGCTCTGGGCAGGCTGATGTCACATGGTTGGCTTTTACTGGTGAAGACAAAGCCACAGGTACAGCTTGGTTAACAGTGTGGCCAGCACTAGCCTGATGGTGGAGACCCTGCATAACCCTGTGGACCAACAGGGAACCATCTGAGACCTACAATTAGAGAGTCTGTTTCTTTACAAAGCCTCCTCTTTTTAAAAATTTACTTATTTGAGAGAGAGAGAAAGAGACTGCTTGTGCAAGAGAATGCATGAGCAGGGGAAGGGGCAAGAGGAAGAGGGAGAAGCAGGCTCTTTGCTCAGATGCAGGACTTGATCCCAGAACCCTGGGATCATGACTTGAGCTGAAGGCAGATGCTTAACCGACTGAGCCACCCAGGTGCCCACAAAGTCTCCTCTTTTAAAGTTATACTTTATCTTTTTTACACAAAGATAGTAACCCCACACTGCTGGACATCATACCTTTTCACTCACAGCCAATCCATATCAGAACATATCTGCCCCATCCTCTTTCATAGTTGTATGGGTTTCCTTTCCATGCAGACACTAGAAATTATCTATGCCCACACTACCTTGTGGACAGATAGTTGTTCTCCAGATTTTTACTCCTATACTTGATGCTACAGTTATTATCCTTCCACATATATCATAGTGAACTCTTTAAATCATAGATCAAATTTTGTGGTAAAAAGATTCTTCATGGGGCACCTGGGTGACTCAGTTAAGCATCTGCCTTTGGCTCAGGTCATGATCCTAGAGTCTCAGGATCGAGCTTCACATCTGGTTCCCTGCTCAGCTGGGAGTCTGTTTCTTCCTTTCTCTCTCCCTCTGCTCCTCCTCCTGATAGTTCTCTTTCTCCCTCTCTGACTCTCTCTTAAATAAATAAAATCTTTTAATAAATAAATAAAATCTTAAAAAAAGGTTTTTCATTTCCCCAGAGTTTTCATCAGAGAAAGCAAGAGAGCAAGATGAATTAGAAAATAAACACAATATGTTATAATTTGTTTAGTATTAGAAAAGCTATACAGGTAATTGGAATTAAAGGGAAGAATAAATCATTTACCCTTATTTTCTTCTCTGGACTATATTTCATGGTAATCATGGGAGCATTTTTTTAACAAAAGAATTGTAGCTAATAAGTGGATATTAAAGGACAATTAGATAATCGCCATTTGTAATCCTAATTGATCATCACTGGATGAAGCCATTAGATGAACAGTTACTGGGTGGGGGGGTCGGGGTAACCGTACTGACAGTTCCTGGATCCACCATTCAGTGTGAGCATCAAGAAGAGTAGGATGGCTGTGAGGTAATGGGAAGTACCTGGTATTTTAAAGAAGTCCTGAGGTCACCTACAGAGTATTCTTGCCAAAGAAAGTTGAACCTGAATCCAAGCATGCCTTTAGAGCTGACTTCCAGATTGTAGGAAATACGGGGAATCAAGAGGCAAAGACACTATGATAAGCAGACAGACAGGTCCAGAATGCAGACATTCTATAGATCATTGGGCCCATCCTTTCTACAAGCCAATGGCATGACAAAACAAAGGGAGTAGGCATGCTCTGCATTTGAAGATAATGAAGGGAGATGGCAGCTAAACGTAGAGTATGGACCTTGTTTGCATCCAGATTCAAGCAAACCCAAAAGTACACAGGCATTTTTTTACGTTAAGGAAATTTGCATATGGAGTAGAAATCGGATGACACAAGGAAATCACTGTTAAGTGTGATAGTGGCATTGTGTTTCACTTAAAAATGTCCATTTTAAAAAGGGAAACATACTAAATATGTTTGGGATGAAATAATATGAAGTTAGGGTTTGATTTTATACCATCTAGCGACAAAAAGAAATTAAGAAAGAAAAAGAAAAAGTGAAAAGAGGAAAGCAGATATGACAAATCATGAATGTTGAATCTATGTGATGGGTATATGGAGGTTCATTATACCGTTTTCCTCACTTTTGTGCATCCTTACAATTTTTTATAAAAAGTTACTGGATAAACAAAAAAGATGGAAAGGTAGATTCAAGGAAAGGAGATGACTGCCATGCTATTAAGTTAACTAAACGTTTGTAACTTAACTTATGTGGCATCACAACTTTTTTTGTGGAAGGCTCTCAAATGAAATATTTTTGTCCTCATAAATTGCTATGCAAGGGAAGCATAATGTAGCTTGAATATTTTTAAACTAAATATGAAAAAATGTGGCAGAGAGAGAGCTTAAGGACATATTTAGCTGCCTTGGTTTATATTAACATTTAAGCTTCCAACTATGGAGGAGAAAGTTACTATAAAGAGGAAGCTAGGCACAGAACCTGGACTTCCCTATACCTCTCCTGACCCTAGTATCCCAACCACCTGGGTTCACTGAGGATACAGACAGACATCTTCCTCTCCCTGCTTTCAGATCCAAAGTCTGAATGGAAGGGAGGACGTCCACTTCTCTGCCTACAAAGGAAAGAGGATAACATCTGTGCCCTGGGGTTAGCCAGGAGCCCTTATGGGACCAAGGCAATCAGATAGTCTTGAGTTATCCAAGGGAGGAATCAGGCTCTTTGAAGAGCATGCCACCTAAACCACAGTAGTAGCAACACACAATACAGCTGGACCTGTAAGGAGCTGTCCGTGGTGCTGACCTGCTTCCCTTTACTTTTGACAGTGAGGAGACACAAAATGATTGGCTGTCAAGTTCATGCATAGAAGAAAAAGGCATCAAAAAAAATGAGGTCTAGATATGTGCATAGTTAGTGTTGGGGGCAAGGTGGGGAAGCCGGTATTAGTGGACCTAGTCATGACCATGAGATTCATGGCCAGGGCTTAATTTTTGAACGTATTAAGGCATGGGGAAAAAGTCTGATTCCAGAGAAATGTGGGTTTCCTGTGACTGAGGCATGAAAAAAAATCAGAAATGGATCTGAGAGAGTGAAACGTGGCTATAAATAAATTCCATTAAAACTATATTAAGTCCCTACTATAGTACAGGCAATGTGATAGGCATTAGGGAAAGAGCAATGAACAAGACAATGGTGTAATTAGGAGCTAAGCTTGAATTCTAAAATTTGTCTAGAAACACAGGACATTTTCTAACTGATGGAAGTGTCAAAATGGTGGCAATCAACAGTTTTTAGTTGTCTGCCACCCTGGGGTAGAAGGGTCAACATGCTGCCAGGGGGATGGTGGAAAGCTGAGGTCTGTTATCCCCACCACCCTGACCTTGAGCAGGAGCTACCTTTGTTGTCATGCCAGACCCTCAGCTTGCAGAGGTGGCCCAGGCTCAGCATGTCAGAGAAGTTGAATGTGTCTGTGTTGTTCCGCTCAAACTTGTTCCAGTTGGCTGACTGCTTCAGGGCCAGGGTCCCGCTGTCCCCATTCTCCCCGAAGATGATGATGAACACATTGGCATCGGTGCCTGCTCCTAGGGGGTGCATAAAATAAGGGCTTTGGGTGCTAGCTTCTCCAACACACAGCCCACTTGCTCTGGTTTCCATCCTGGCTTCCTTGGAGGAACCAGTGGTGCCGATGGGAAGTTTAGCTTTGATGAGGCCAGCAGAGAGGCTGGAAAGGGCTGATTAGTTTACTGGGACTCCTGGGTCTCCAATTCTATCCTTCATCTTATCTCTGTGTCTTATAAATGCTATTGGGCTAATTGGAGTCCTGGTTAGCAAGTGTGAGTAGTTTAGTGCAAAAACTCATTTATTTTTGGGGAAATACACCCATACTTAAAAGGTATGCCATGAAGACTGGCTTTGCAGTTTAGAAATTCAGTCTCTTTCCTGCATAACGTGGGTTCAGGAGGAAATAGGAAAGTTCTTTGTTCCCCAGATCTACCCCTGGTTGACAGTCTATACTAGAGCTTTGTATCATTTGCCTGAGCCAAATAGAGGTATTGAACCTAGTTAAAAAGAAAATGGTTCTGGAAAAGGTAGCTCAATGAAGCTTTTCTGACACACACACACCCTACAGTTATCAAGGGACTTACCAACTATTTTCTGAGAACAAATCATGAGGGGATTTGGGGGTGGAAAACATGTGGACACTTGGAACTTCAAGTTCCAAAATCGTGAAGGCTCCACTGTTAGGAGAAACGAAGAAGAGAGGTGCCAACAAATTTACCCACTATACTGACCCATTGCTTACGCCTGAGATCCTACCATGAAAGCCTAATTTCTTTGGCTAAATGCTTCTCTGTTGAAAATGTAAGCTATTAGGACCAACAAATTAATCCCTCACTAGTCATTTATAATCAGCGCAAATGAGTTTGTCACATTCCTTACAACAGCTCCTGGAGAACAGGTTTGATATAGAGAAGGATAGGCGGGAGACAATGCCTCCATGATGAGGTGTGTTCCCTCTCAATCTCAGGCCTTTGCACACACTAGCATTTTTGCTTGGAAAGCCCTTCAGCAGGTGTTCCATCTGCCTCAGTGGCTTCTGTTTGTCTTTCTGCACCAGACTTTGGTATCACCTCTGGGAAGCCTTCCATGACCCTTGCCCCTGATCCCCAGCTAGGTAAAGCACCCTCTTCTGGGTTCCCCAGCTCCTGTGCAGACCTCTGTCAGAGCTTCACTGTCATTGTTCTACTAGAATGTCAAACTCACAAGCGCCCAGGGTCATCTCTCCATCCTAAGACTCTAGGCCAAATTTGGCACACAGAAGATGGTTGCCAAACACATGTGGGAAGGAACCCAAGGGCATCTGAGATGCACAGCATAAAGGTGAGGGGCATGAGGCAGCAGCAGGAAGACAGAGGGCCTCTGAGTCATGCTCCCACCCAGTTTTCAAAAGTGCTGACCATAGTGCCCGATCAGGTTTTCCCAGACCTCCTTGAGGGAGGAGGGGCAGAGCCAATTCAGTCACTGGGAGGAAATACTTTGTCTGGACAGAAAGTGACACATGGTGGAAAGGACTTGCATTGACTAACATTTGGAACGTCAGCCAAAGAAAAGTGAGAGCCTGACCAGAGCCCAGGACCTGAGCCAGAATTTGAGGAAGGGCAAGGGAAGTGGGATGTGGGACTGGGAGATGGGAGGGATGCCCTGACTCACCCAGGATGTCACTGGTCTTGACTGAGACAGTGTAGGAGGTCCACTCCATCATCTCCTCCCCATCAACGACAGCACACATTTCACACACGAGGGTCTTCTTGCCCTTCCACTGGGACAGCCAGTCTCCATAGTAGAACATGGTCAGGTCTCCAGTATTCATGTTCTTCAGGAGGATCTGGGTGAGAGGAGCCAGTGTGGGAACACCTGCCCTCACCTCCACCAGCTGTCCACCTGCGAATGCAGCCCCCTTGGCTGAATCCCAAGGACCCACGATTCCAGACCCAAGATGAATTCTTCTGACTAAGACTCTCCAGGACAAAGACCCTGCCCAGTATGTCTTGCATAGGGTCTGAAGCCCCTTAGTTTGGGGATTTGGAAATGGAAAATTCATCCAAACATGTTTCTGAAAGGTACCTGTCACTGTGCACAAAAAAAGTTTGTTGAATGAATGACAGAAAAACGGGCCAACCAAACCACTATCGGCCACAAATACCTGAAGTTAGCCAAGTTGTCCTTGGTGCGGGCACCCATATTGTTGGCTCAAGAAAAATCTGCTACTGGCTGAACAGGGGAGTGGGAGCCTGAGGGAACTCAGGACAGATAGCCTTTGGTGGCTGGGAGATTTGAGGACTGAATTGGGGAAAACAGAGTCCAAGATGGAAAAAGAGGCAGCCACCTAATGTGTGATCACAGGGCACCAAAAGCTCCCTGTCATCCTGCCTGAAGTGCTCAACATTAGAGCCTCTGCTGCCCTGGTTCTTGCTGTTCCTCTCTCAGTCCTCCCAATTTACCTCCTCCAAGAAGTACACGCTAAGTCTCTGTCCACATTATACTGACAGTGCATGCTGGACACAAATAACTAAAACTACATTCTCTGGTTAATTCACGCCAAAGGGCACACCGGATTACACAGGTCTGGTTCATGTTATAACCCTCTAAAGTGACATTTGCTCTTTAACCAGGTCCACCGACAACCCAAAAGATAAGGAGGAAGGGTTAGGCTATGCGTGGAAGGAAGACATTTTACCCTCTCCAGGAACCACTCGGGCCGGCAGCCCAGGCCATCAATTCGGATCCGCATCTTGGTGAATGGAGCAATGTCCAGAATCTCCATGATGAAGGTGTCATTCTGCTCCCGCTCAAATCTGGGGGAAGAGAGTAAGGGCATGAAGTGAGGATGCTGGCTACAGTGAGGAGGGAAGGGGAGGCTCCCAGTGACTCCCCAATAGTCTGTCTCTTGCACCCCAGATGTGTTCCTGAAAGACTGGGTGAGGTGTGTTTGGCTGATAGCAATGACCCTGAATCAGGCTCTGAGTCCTAATCTCATTCTGCTAGCCACCTAGAGCAGTCCAAGCTTCTCTCTGGGACTTGGTTTCCTCATCCTTAGTCTGGGGGAAATGATACTGGCCCTGCAATCTCATAAACCTGTCAGGAGAACCAAATGAATGTGACATCAACTTAAAATGTAAAAGGAATTCCATACCTGCAAAGCTTCAGATGAGATTCTAGGAGTGACAGGGCTGCCATGAATGGTGGGGCAGGTTGTACACTGCTCAACTCTAGATGGTACCATTTACATTTTTCTATACACAATCTGCAAAACTAAATGCAGTGGCCTGAGATTAGGTAATGCTACCAATAACTAGTAAATGGCAGGCAAATCGAAGGTAACATTACTTTTGTTGCTATTACTATTTTTCTGCTGAATGACCTCATCATCTCAGAGGTGCTCTATCTTGATGTCTTACTGCTCTTCCTACAGGGCTACATGTATAATGCAACCTTTAGTGCTGATTGCTTGACTGCCGACTGATCCCAGATGATGCTGCTGATAAGCCGCTGGGGGTAATGCAAGTGGCACTGAAGATAGAGCGCTGCATGGCAATTGTGCTTCCTTGTATACAAGACATATGTTTAAAAACAGAGGCCACGGGGGTGCCTGGGTGGCTCAGTTGGTTAGGCGACTGCCTTCGGCTCAGGTCATGGTCCTGGAGTCCCGGGATCGAGTCCCGCATCGGGCTCCCTGCTCAGCGGGGAGTCTGCTTCTCCCTCTCCCGCTCCCCCCTCTTGTGCTCTCTCACTCTC